ATGTCTATGTCTTCCTCTGTGAGATTTCTGTTCATGTCTTTTACCCATTTCATAATTGGATTGTTTGTTTCTTTGGTGTTGAGTTTACTAAGTTCTTTATAGATCTTGGAAACTAGCCTTTTATCTGATACGTCATTTGCAAATATCTTCTCCCATTCTGTAGGTTGTCTTTGAGTTTTGTTGACTGTATCCTTTGCTGTGCAAAAGCTTCTTATCTTGATGAAGTCCCAATAGTTCATTTTTGCTTTTGTTTCTTTTGCCTTCGTCGATGTATCTTGCAAGAAGTTACTGTGGCCAAGTTCAAAAACGGTGTTGGCTGTGTTCTCCTCTAGGATTTTGATGGAATCTTGTCTCACATTTAGATCTTTCATCCATTGAGAGATACATATATGGTGTGTGTGTGTGTGTGTGTGTGTGTGTGTGTGTGTTATACTAACACAGGCAGAAATCAGGTGACAACTTTCTCAGAGTAGGAAAGAAAGACAGACACTTAGGGATGATTCAGAATGAACTAACAAGATGAATCATATACTAAGAAAAGAAACTGATGCTTCCATTCATAATGAAAAGTTTAGCCTGGAAACAAACTTCGGTAATTCGATATTGCCAATTTATTAGACAAAGAAAATGAAAGAGTACTGCATGTGTTAACACCGGACAAGAAGCAAGGTTTAAAAAGGGACTTGGGCAAAGAGATTTCCAAACTTCCAAACCCACCTTTGGGTAAGCACCCCAGAACCTCCACTCTCTGACACCATGACAGCTCCAGTTGTGGATCTGTCTGCCCTGACGAGGGCTGTGGCCAAGAGACCTGCTGCCAACCCACCTGCTGCCAGACCACCTGCTGCAGGACCACCTGCTGCCACCCCAGCTGCTGTGTGTCCAGCTGCTGCTGCCCCTCCTGGGGTGGTTCCAGTGGCTGTGGCTCCAGCTGCTGCTGCCCCAGCTGTTGCTAGACTACCTGCTGCTGCCCAACCTGCTCTGGGGGGTCTTGCTGCTGAATATCTTGGCCAGCATCCCACTGTCTTTCATCAACCAGTCTTCTTGATATAGTCCAACTAAAAGCTGAAGCATGAGAGGCCAACCCTCAAACCTCCGTTCTGAGGGATTTTTCAACTGAGTTGGCCTGCAAATATACTCACTTCCCCATCACCAATGCCCTCCTCCTCACCTCCCTTCTTACTAGCTAGAGTTAAAAATAGACCTGCGCTACGACCCGGGAAACGCCGGGACACCTGCACTCCAATGTTTATAGCAGCAATGTCCACAATAGCCAAACTGTGGAAGGAGCCTCAGTGTCCATTGAAAGATGAATGAATAAAGATGTGGTCTATGTATACAATGGAATATTACTCAGCCATTAGAAATGACAAATACCCACCATTTGCTTCAGCGTTGATGGAACTAGAGGGTATTATGCTGAGTGAAATAAGTCAATCGGAGAAGGACAAACATTATATGGTCTCATTCATTTGGGGAATATAAAAAATAGTGGAAGGGAATAAGGGGAAAGGAAAAAATGAGTGGGAAATGTCAGAGAGGGAGACAGAACATGAGAGACTCCTAACTCTGGGAAACGAACTAGGGGTGGTGGAAGGGGAGGTGGGCAAGGGGTGGGGGTGACTTGGTGACGGGCACTGAGGGGGGCACTTGATGGGATAAGCACTGGGGGTTATTCTATATGGTAGCAAGTTGAACACCAATAAAAATTAAATTCATAAAAAAATAAAAATAAAAAATAAATTACACTACCATGAGCTCCTTTGATGATTCTTTCCATAGCATGTTGCCATTGTTTGTATATCTGTGTGTGTGGCACAGGTGCTTCCAGTAACCTGAAAGAACATGGAGGAACTTGACAGAGGCAGTTCCTCAAAGCTTGAATAAACAGAATGAAGGAACAGGTATCTAAGGGTAGTCCTTGGGCCTTCGGTATCAACATCATCAGGGTACTTGCTAGAAATGCCAAGCCTCAGGCTCCTCGTGTAATCAGAACCTCTAGGATTTGTCCCAAACATATTTAATAAGCCCTTTGGATGATTTGCCGCATGCTCAACTTGCACTATCATGAGTGGAGAATGTGGAGAAATAGCAACTAAAAGAAGTTACATTGACTAAGAGCCATTCACATTTCAAAGGGATCAAAAAACAAAAAGAAATAAAAGGCATTCAAACTGGCAAAGAAGAGTCAAATTCCCTCTTCACCGATGACATGATACTCTACATAGAAAACCATAAAGACTCCACCCCAAGATTGCTAGAACTCATACAGCAATTTGGCAGTGTGGCAGAACACAAAATCAATGCCCCGAAGTCAGTGGCAGTCTATACACTAACAATGAGACTGAAGAAAGAGAAATTAAGGAGTCAATCCCATTTATAATTGCACCCAAAAGCATAAGATACCTAGGAATAAACCTAACCAAAGAGGTAAAGGATCTATACCCTAAAAACTATAGAACACTTCTGAAAGAATTTGAGGAAGACACAAAGAGATGGAAAAATATTCCATGCTCATGGATTGGAAGAATTAATATAGTGAAAATGTCAATGCTACCCAGGGCAATTTACACGTTTAATGCAATCCCTATCAAAATACCATGGATTTTCTTCAGAGAGTTGGAACAAATTATTTTAAGATTTGTATGGAATCAGAAAAGACCCCAAATAGCCAGTGGAATTTTAAAACACAAAACCATAGCGGGGACATCACAATGCCAGACTTCAGGTTGTACTACAAAGCTGTGGTCATCAAGACAGTGTGGTACTGGCACAGAAACAGACACATACATCAATGGAACAGAATAGAGAATCCAGAAGTGGACGCTCAACTTTATGGTCAACTAATATTCGACAAACGAGGAAAGACTATCCACTAGAAGAAATTCTCTTCAATAAATGGTGCTGGGAAAATTGGACAGCCACGTGCAGAAGAATGAAACTAGACCACTCTCTTGCACCATACACAAAGATAAACTCAAAATGGATGAAAGATCTAAATGTGAGACAAGATTCCATCAAAATCCTAGAGGAGAACACAGCCAACACCGTTTTTGAACTTGGCCACAGTAACTTCTTGCAAGATACATCCATGAAGGCAAGAGAAACAAAAACAAAAATGAACTATTGGGACTTCATCAAGATAAGAAGCTTTTGCACAGCAAAGGATACAGTCAACAAAACTCAAAGACAACCTACAGAATGGGAGAAGATATTTGCAAATGGCGTATCAGATAAAAGGCTAGTTTCCAAGATCTATAAAGAACTTAGTAAACTCAACACCAAAGAAACAAACAATCCAATCATGAAATGGGCAAAAGACATGAACAGAAATCTCACAGAGAAGACATAGACATAGCCAATAAGCACATGAGAAAATGCTCCGCATCACTTGCCATCAGGGAAATACAAATCAAAACCACAATGGGATACCACCTCACACTAGAGAGAATGGGGAAAATTAACAAGGCAGGAAACAACAAATGTTGGAGAGGATGTGGAGAAAGGGGAACCCTCCTGCGCTGTTGGTGTGAATGTGAAATGGTGCAGCCACTCTGGAAAACTGTGTGGAGGTTCCTCAAAGAGTTAAAAATAGATCTGCCCTATGACCCAGCAATTGCACTGCTGGAGATTTACCCCAAAGATGCAGATGCAATGAAATGCTGGGACACCTGCACCCCGATGTTTCTAGCAGTAATGTCCACAATAGCCAAACTGTGGAAGGAGCCTTGGTGTCCATCGAAAGATAAATGGATAAAGAAGATGTGGTCTATGTATACAATGGAATATTACTCAGCCATCAGAAACGACAAATACCCCCCATTTGCTTCGACGTGGATGGACCTGGAGGGTATTATGCTGAGTGAAATAAGTCAATCGGAGAAGGACAAACATTGTATGTTCTCATTCATTTGGGGAATAAAAAAAATAGTGAAAGGGAATAAAGGGGAAAGGAGAAAAGAATGAGTGGGAAATATCAGTGAGGATGACAGAACATGAGAGACTCCTAACTCTGAGAAACGAACTAGGGGTGGTGGAAGGGGAGGTGGGCGGGGTATGGGGGTGACTGTGTGATGGGCACTGAGGTGGGCACTTGACAGGATGAGCACTGGGTGTTTTCTATATGTTGGCAAATTGAACATCGATAAAAAATAAATATATATAAAAAAACATGTGCTACTAATTTCCCAGCTCTGGAGGTAAGTTCTAAGGAGAGGCACATTCTGATTATTCAACATTTTCTTTTTGCTCCATTGAAGAGTATTTTTAATTAAGAATGAGGCAAGAAAAAAAGAAAGAGACTAAAATTTTCAGGATCAAAAGACCATCCAGAGAGATGCAATACAAAAATATATGACAGCAAAACTAACAGCCACTAAACCCTGAATCAGGGCAGTGACAGGAACCATATAGGTAATATGCCTGCCACAGTTCTAGGGAGAGAACATCACCGGGGGTTAGAAACGTTGAGGAAAACCCATTCCAGTGGCAGAGATGAGCAGCATCACACACACACACACACACACACACACACACAAACACAACTATCTCCTTCCCCATTGCTCAACAATGACCCACAATAGAGTCTTTTCCTCTTGTCTCCTGCCACTTCCCACATGCCACACTATGCACATGGGATGTCCTCCCCACTGGTCGTTGGAAGAAATGCATGACCAGAAATCTGTTGGCCCTAATCCCATCCTGCTATAGGATACAGGAGGGGACAGAAAGAAATAAAATTGCAAATGCCGCCTATCACTTGACAGCCCTCTGTGGAGGAAGATGAGAGTGGTTCAGAAGATGCCAGGGGTGTGAGTCAGGGGGAAAAGTAGACCAGTTAAATGTATCACATCTAGAAAAGAAAATTAGTTTCCATGAATACAACAATTACAGACAAACATTATTGTATAATCTGACAATTACTTAAATAGTAGGAAAACAAAAATAAGGAAGACGTGTTGGCAAGTCACTGTCTTCAGGTAGTATATAAGAGGCCATGGCACAATGAGACTCCCAAACTTAAGACCTTCACTCCCCTGAAAAACACACCCAGAACCTCCACCTTCTGACACCATGGTCAACTCCTGTTGTGGCTCCGTCTGCTCTGAGCAGGGCTGTGGCCAGGAGACCTGCTGCCGCCCCAGCTGCTGTGTGTCCAGCTGCTGCCGCCCCTCCTGCTGTGGTTCCAGCGGCTGTGGCTCCAGCTGCTGCAGGCCCAGCTGCTGCATCTCTAGCTGCTGCCGCCCCACCTGCTGCCAGACCACCTGCTGCAGGACCACCTGCTGCCGCCCCAGCTGCTGTGTGCCCAGCTGCTGCCGCCCCTCCTGCTGTGGTTCCAGTGGCTGTGGCTCCAGCTGTTGCAGGCCCAGCTGCTGCATCTCTAGCTGCTGCCGCCCCACCTGCTGCCAGACTACCTGCTGCAGGACCACCTGCTGCCGCCCCAGCTGCTGTGTGTCCAGCTTCTGCCGCCCAAGCTGTTGCTAGACCACCTGCTGCTGCCCAACCTGCTCTGGGGGGTCCTTGCTGCTGAGTATCTTGGCCAGCATCCCACTGTCTTTCATCAACCAGTCTTCTTGATATAGTCCAACTAAGAGCTGAAGCATGAGAGGCCAACCCTCAATCCTCCGTTCCAAGGGACTTTTCAACTGAGTTGGCCTCCATATATACTCACTCCCCCATCACCAATGCCCTCCTCCTCACCTCCCTTCTTACTAGCTCCCTCCCAAAGGAATACAAAGCTTGAGTTTTCTCTGAAATCTGTCAACCAACATGTCATCCCAATCACATTTTTGTTTCTGGCCAGATTGTTTCATATGGAGATGTTCCTATATCTTGAATAAATCTTAATTTTCCAGGCATACATATCAAAAGCCTTCGCGTCTCATTATTTTTCCTTCCTGAATTGTTATCCTTAGCAGTCAACTGTTCTGGTGTTCCCTGCAGAAAGAGGGGTCCATGGCAGATGACTTTAGGATTTCTACCTCTATCCCCTCAGGACTCTCCATGAGGACATTGGAAGGAGGTTGTTTACAGCAAGTACCTGGAACTCTCTGCTGAGGGCTTTGTCTAGATGAAGGAGCAAGCTCTCAGCAGGGCAGAGGTAGGCAAAGCAAGTGTCTAGGAGAAGTCCTCAGCCAATGGGCAGCAGTTGGTGGCTAAGTGCTCTAGTCTCTTTCCTCTAAGTGGAGCATAGAAGACCACACGTCCTCGGTGGGACTGAACCCCAGCCACCTCTGGGTGTCACCTGCTCTTGAAACCATTCTGGATTGACATCCATCTCTTTCCTGGTCACTTCTCAGATTCCCTGTGACACTTCTTGAGATGCTCTCCCAAACAAACTACTTGTCCTCAAACCTCTGTGTCGGAGTCTGCTCCTGAGGTCACCCTAACTCCAGTGGTCCCAATCTCAGTAGCAGTGCCTTCAAAACATTTCCATACCATATGAGTGGTACCAATGGGGACAAGTCAACTCCTGAACTTATTTTTCACTGAAGCATGAAAGCTTTTCATGGTGGGCTGTTTCTTCTGACAGTTTTTTGTACACTTTTTTTTAGACTATTAGTCTCCAACGTTTTATTTTATTTTATTTTTTTTTATGATAGTCACACACAGAGAGAGAGGCAGAGACACAGGCAGAGAGAGAAGCAGGCTCCATGCACTGGGAGCCTGACGTGGGATTCAATCCCGGGTCTCCAGGATCGCGCCCTGGGCCAAAGGCAGGCGCCAAAACCGCTGCGCCACCCAGGGATCCCAGTCTCCAATGTTTTAAATGTTATCATATATGCTGAGGGATAGGACACACTCCCATGAGTGATACAGCTCACCATCTTCACAACCTTCTCCCTAAAGGAGGCTTCTTTAGGGGGAACTGTCCCAAGCTTGATTATGACATGGCATTACAATAAACAGAGGCTGAAAAAGAGAATCTTGCACGACTGGTGTATAAGGAAGAGCTCCAGGAGGAATCAGTAAGAAACTGAGGGAAACAAAATAGGAGTCTAAAGGAATCTAATGCAAAATGTGGTTCCAGTTCAATTCTACCCTCATATTGTCACCCCAGAGAGGAGGGGTGTGGACTGTTTACAAACCTGCTTCTCTTAGGAGCAAGGGAGTTGGGCCCTTGTAGTCCTCCATCACTTATCACTACCTTTGATCAACTTTTGAAGTGTAGGAAGGAGAGAGGAGGCTGACTTTCAGTGGCCGTTTGACCTAGTTTAACACTTATACCTACAGAAGAGTGTGGGTAAATAGTGTGTGCCTCTAGTATTCCATACTGGCAGTATCTTGTGGTTCAGGGCATTTTTGGAAGGAATCTTATGGGATATTATGTATCTACCTCTAGGTCCGTTCATGTCTATGAATTTCTTTCATGAATCTCACTCCTTGTGGTTTGTGTCAATTTTGAGAAAAACTTGGAAGAGGAGAGTGAAGTGTATGGTTCCTCTGCTCCTTTAGCTGACTTGCCCAGGGAATTGACCTAGATCTCCATCCCTGAGAACCCTGAGTCCATTGTTCCTATGTCCTCTTCAGGCTACATTACTTGCACATCTACAGTTAATCCTGGAAATATGTATACCAAGGATTTACTTTTAGATCACCTCCTGGTCTCCATAGCTCCTTTCTCTGCTTGCTGATCTCCTGGCACTAGAAACCCAAAGGGATAAGGTGACAGCCAGAACTTTTATTCCAATAAGAACTTTACCATGTCCCCTGAAGATAGCACTCTTCTCTTATAGCTGAGACCCGTTGGTGCACAAAGCCTACAATTATGGAGTAATGAGGTACAAATCCACAAATGAGTACTGGGAGTGAAGATGAGTAGGTAACTCCTATATCCCGGTATGGATTATTGTATTCTAATGGGGGTATATTGGCATTTTGTATATTTAGCACTCATGGTCATCTCATATCCCATATCCCACAGCATCCAGATATATGAATACTGCAGCTTCCCCTGTATATGGTTATATAATTATTTGGAAAGTTTTAAAGAAATTTCTACTATAAATACTTGTTGTTCTTTAGCCTGGGTGACTGGCCTCTATTGATGGGTCAATGCATTCTAGGTGTGAGAACTGGCTCAGGTCTGAAAACTGCATGAGGGATCATATGTTTTGGGGGACCACTGACATCAGCTTTTTGTTCATGTATTCCCTAGTTCTATAGAGGTTAAGCTAAAAAACTTAAGGTATAGAGCTTAAGGTACAGTATACCTATAACCTATTTGGTTGCCTGTATCCTATTCTGGGGACACCATGTTCTATTATCCATATTGATAGGTAGATCCTTGAGGTTCACGTATCATTCTGTCCCCTTTTTCATTCCAACCTTGTTGGCCGTTACATCATTATACTCCTGTTACTTCCTAGAGTTAAATGCTGCCACCTGATCTCCACTGTTCAGAGATACATCATGCCCATTCTTCCTAGGGAGATCAGTTCTCTGATAGTATTCCCTACTACAACCTCTGAATTCAGAATAATAGACACTATTTTCTCAGTGATGCCTCTGACTCCCATGCCTGATGATTCCTTATTACCTCAGTAAAGAGAGTGCCTTTGAGACTTACTAGGGATCATATTCAGCCAGTTGCCCTTTCTGAGCTTGTGACTACTGTATTCTAACATATCCACCTCTCTGCACCTTTTGATCCCTTTTCCTCATCTGTGTGTGGTGTGTGCTAGATAAATCTGTACTGGATATGCATTGTTATGTAACATTACCTCACTTTTTAGCCGCTTAAAATGACACAAACTTATTACCTCACAGTTTCTGTGGATCAGGAATTCCAATGTTGTTCATTTAGGTTCTCACAAGGGTTCCTCAACTGGTTACCTGGCATTAAGTCTCAACTGAGGTCTCGATTGGGGAAGAATCCACTTTCAGTTTCACTCATATGATCCTTGGTGGGATTCAGTTCCTTGAGGGCCACTGGAGTGAGGACCTCTATTCCTTGCTGGTTGGTGAATGGAGACTGTGTTCAGTTCTTGGCTACAAGGATCTCTCCCACATGGCACTTGGCTTCAACTAAGCCAGTGAGAGAGAGAAAGAGTTGTCTTTCAGATGAAAGTCACAGTCTTTCATAACTCAGTCCTTTAATGTTGCCATATGTTGTTTATAAGCAAATTATTTAAGGGGAAGGAAATACATAAGACCATGAACACCAAGAGGTGGAAAGCTTTGAGCTTTCTTGGAGTCTACCTCAGAACTGGCACATAATATTGAAAGAATCAAAAGACATATAAGATTCCTTTATACAAAATTTGAAAACATGTAAAACTAAACTATATTGTTTAGGGATGTATAACCAGGTGGTAAAATCATGAAGAAAATTAATGTAAAGATCATTAAAAATCTAGTTAGTGATAATCTATAGAGTGGAAAGAGAGGGATGTGGTCCAGAAGTCATATCAAGGGCTATTTTGGTGAAGGCAACATTTTATTTCATGACTTGGGAATTGGGTATATAGTATTTGTGCCAAAATTATTATATTACACATGTATATTTCATACATTATGCAGTATATGTGTTTTTCATAAGAGTTTTTATAAATTCAGTGTAGACTGAAATAGTTGCTCTATTTACAATTAAAAATGAATATTCAATTACACACTGATTGAACCTACAGTTGACCATTGAATGATACAGGTTTGAACTGCCTGAACCCATTTATAGGTGGATTTTTAAAATAAATACAGTCCAGTAGTCTAATATATTTTCTCTTCCTTATGACTTTCTTAATAGCATTTTCTTCTCACTAGCTTACTTTATTATAAGAGTTCAGTATACAAGATACATAACACACAAAATGTGTGTTATTTGACAATGTTATTGGTAAACTTATGGTCAAGAGTAGGCCATTAGTAGTTCTGATTTTAGGGAGTCAAAAGTTAAGTGGGGATTTTCAACTGCACAAGGGATGGCACCTCTAACCCCTGTGTTGGTCAAGGGTCAACTGTCATTAAAGAACTGAAGGAAAGTCAACCAGTGGTATATGGGCATTTATATGGCTTAAAATATTGCTTTAATTATATATACTACTACTATCAAAACTGATAATATTGTTAATGTGTATCTTTAAATATTTTAAAAGAGCTCAAGAGGCGGGGCAAGATGGTGGAGGAGTAGGGGTCCTCAACTCACCTGGCCCCACCAACTTACCTAGATAACTTTCAAACTGAACACCTACAAATTTGACCTGAGATTTAAAGAGAGAACTTCCAGAACGCTACAGAGAGAAGGGTTTTCGCTTCTAACAAGGTAGAAAGGTGGAAAAAAAATAAAATAAAAGAATCAAGTGGGGAGGGGCTCCGCAAGAGCTGGGCTAAGGCCAGTGCAAAAGCCTCAGCCCCAGAGAAGCAAGAACTTTAAAAAATTGGCACCACATTCTTCCCAGATGGAAAAGCACTTAGCAGGGAAATTGGGCAGAATCATAGGAGGGGCAGTGAGGCCTCCAATTTCCCGGAGTCACTAATAGAGGAGGTACGTCCTGGGGAAAGCCCACCACAAACTGTGGGTCGATCTTGGTAAAGGACTGGAGCGCACACCTTCGGGGCATCTGGGAGAAGCTGGTGGGTCAGACGGCCGTGCCCCCCAGGCATGCAATTCCAGCAGCACAAAGCCCCAGATCCCAGGGTGCCAAGCAGACAAAGCCCATGATTCTGAGCTCCCCCTGGGACAGAATCGGGGATGGCACAGGACAGCGAGGATTCTCTTGCCACTGGGTGGTCCCAAGATGTGCAGGTTAGCACACACATGCCAACCTGGGAGCATTTAGGCCAGTGCGAACTGGGAGACTGCATTAGTTACTGGTGGGGAGCTGACTCCAGAGCTGGAAATCTGGCCGCCACCAGTGTTGTTG